AAACCCCGTATCAGAGCCCATTTTGGTATTAGCTTTGCTAGAAAACAGTTCATTAGTCCCTCTGCTAATGAGAGTAGCCACAAATAACAACTAAAGCAGTGTTTGGATTGACAGCACATCAGCCATCACACTGGAAAACCTTCAGGCAAGTGTGACTGGGATTAGGGAATAACTACCAATGTGATCCACCAGGGAGATAAGTATTTAGTAACAAAATCTGTCATGATACAAATGATTCATATCCTTCCGCAACACCTCTGTGTCCTGGAAACCACTAACACCAGCTCTGAACCTTTGAGAAGTCACTCAATCATTTTCTGCAGAACAGGGCAGCACAGTGCCTGTTCTCCCAGTCTGCCCAGTAAGAACACCCACTGGGACAACCTGATTGTTCTCCCTGGACCAGGCTGACTTTTTCCCATTAAAGTCACAGTGGTTGTTGTCCAATAGGAGTTATTTTCATCAGAAAATTAGAGAAAACACATGTCGTGTTAAATTGTGCACTCACCCCCCCAATCAGTCCAGAGGATGAATTCTGCCAGGGGCTCTGACTCCCTGGAGCACTGAGCTGTAAGCAACATGCAGCATGGAAAGCAGGCCCAGAGCATGATTTGGTTGGGCATTGGAGCACCCTGAGTGAGCTCTGTAAATGGAGTTTCAACTTGCAGAGTGTTTGAACAGAGAAAACAGCTGATTTCCCAAAGACTCCCCAAAATGTGCCCTGTGCAAACCCAACTCAGGCTGTGTCCTCAAGTGAAACCTCCAGTCTGGAATCTGGAACTCTTTTCATTCCTTATCACCACTGTCAGCCTTAAAGTATATTTTTAGGTACTTTGTCACATAGATGTTCTGCAAGAGAAAAAGTTTCCATCTTTCCTGATTTCCTACTGTTCTGAGGAAGAGATTAAGGGATGGAATGCAAACTGACAGCCCCGTTAAAGTGAGGCACTGAGCTTTTAATGGCTCTCCTTTTTATCTGACAGCTCACATCATCTCTCATTTCAGTGGGGAAGGAAGAAAATGCTCTTCAGCCTTTTACCCTCCCACTTGAGGACAGACCTTTTCCAGCCTTATTCAGTACTCCCATTCTTCAAACCTCTATTAGAAGCAGGGCATGAGTGCCCAGCACCTCTGGTCAAAGTTATTCTAGTCCTAGAAACCTGCCACAATATTACTTTTCAACACAGATTATTACTTTTTATTCCCAATGGAATGACAAGTTTCTAAGCAAATTAATTAGCTTTAAACAATATTACTCTAAAACTCACCAGAGCAGTCATCAACTCAAGGTCCAGTCAGCCCCAGCCCCAGGCATCTGGCACAGCCACAGTCAGGAAAAGTTACTGCCTGGAAATTTCCATGGCAGTTGTGTCTGAGCCCAGTACTGGTAAGTAGGTAGAAACCCTCGAGTCTAAAATAGGTAAATTTATGCCTAATTCCATGCTGAAGACTGGCCATGGATGTTCTACCACAAAGCAATGCTTCCCAAAACCCTTCCCTGAACCAATGAGCACAGTCAATAAGTCTACCAGGATTTTAACAAAGCCTTCCACAAGATCCCTTCCCAAAGGCTTTTCAGGGAACTAAGCAGCTGGAGAAGGTCCTCTCATGCACTCAAATAACTGATTAAAGCATAGGAAGCAAAAGGTAGGAAAAAACAGTCAGTTCTCACCCATAGGTCACTCACAGAACCATGCAGCAAGATGTGCTAGGGCTGATGCTGCTGCAAATACTCACAAACCTTAAGGAACACACAAAAATAGCACAGTAACAAAGAGTGCTGAGGAGACAAAGCTGTTTGGAGCAGGGAATTAAAACCTGACTGCAAAGCTGCTAAGCAGAACATGTTCTGTCAAGAGAAAGTGGCCAAGTGGCAAAGGTCACTCAACTGCAGGTAAACACAAAATGCTTCAGAGGAAAAGCAGTTCTCAACTTGATGTCCTGTCACTCCATGCCCTTGTCCCAGGTCCCTCTCCAGCTCTCTTTAGGCATTGGAAGGGCTCTAAGGTCTCCCTGGAACCTTCTTCTCCAGGTCTTTTTAAAAGTGGAGGTTATGTTTCCCTAAGTTCAGTCAGTGGGAACTTCACTGGACAGCCAGGACTTCTCACATAGGATGGACAGTGTTTCAGCAACTTTATGTGCCAGTTCCCCCAGGACCTGCAGATGCATCTCATCAAGCCCCATGGACTTGAGCACCTTCAGGCTCCGTGGATGGTCTCAAACCTGATCTCCTCCAGCAGGCAGGATTTCATTCTGTCCCTGTCTTTGCTTTCTGTTGGAGCACTTGCCAGTGAAGACTGAGGCAAGAAAGTCATGGGTACCTCAGCCTTCTCCATGTCCTGGAAAACCAGGTCTCCCCTTTCTTTCTGGAGAGAAACCACATTTTCTCTAGTGTTAGTTTTATCACTGAAGTACCTATAGAAGCTTTTCTTGTCACCCTTGACATCCCTGGCCAGATTAATTCTGTCAGGGCCTTAGCTTTCCTAACCTGATCCATGACTGCTTGGACAATATCTCTGCATTCCTCCCAGGCTATCTGTCCTTGCTTTCACCCTCTGTAGGCTTTCTTTTGTGTCTGGGTTTGTCCAGGAGCATCTTGTTCATCCATACAGGCCTCCTGGCATTTCTGCCTGACTTCCTCTTTGTCTGGATGCACCAACTTCTCAGTCCCAAGATCCTTCAAGAAAAAGAGGCCTAACAGCTACAGCAACTTTTTCTGCAGGAGCAGCAGAGGCCCCAAGAGCAGGGAACATCCCAGCTTTGGAAGACAAGCAGAAGTCTTTTTAATGCTCTTTATGAAACAAAAGACTGAGATATTAATGAAAAAGAGTTTTTCTTTCCATACTATGTTCCCTAATCCTTTCATCATCCTCATGGAACTTCTACAGATTCTTCCCAGTGTAGAATTGTCTCTAATTCTGGACACAGCAACCAAAAGCAGCTGCAAAACACTGAGTTACTCAAGTAATTCTATTCCTACACAAGGTTCATCTGTCTACAGATCCTTTACACCTCATTATTTACCATTCCCTTTTCTTTGTGCCATCAGGATATCTTTATGAGAAATGACTTTCTGGTTTCTTGCAGTGACTAACCACAGCACATGGAATGAACAAGGGATTTTTGCAATGCCTTGACTGAAATCCATCGATTCGGTGCTGATGCTTGGGAACCTGCCAGCCAGTCCTGAATTCTTTCATGTATATCTTGTCCATGCTCTCACCTGTCCAGCACTTACACATCCTTAGTGTGGCAGAGCACAGAACCTGCAGAACTTCCACAAAATCACCTTCACCAACAAACCTCTACTTCTATTTTTCTTGCGTTAGCTTGTCAAGATCTATTTTCAGTAAACTCCTAGGCCTTCATTATAACATACTTCTCACATTTAGTTCTTGAAAAACTGAATATTATTCCATCATTTTTCATCTAACTGATATCAAAGTGACAAGCCCACAATTACCTGCATTGTCCTGGTTATTCTTTGCACAGGTTGGCACAGGAACTGTTTTCCTGTAGCCCTCCAGAGCCCTCTGAGATGAGTGAGAAATCAATATCATTGGCACAAAGTTCTCCCTGTTCCTTTATTTTTGCACTTTGCTTTTAAAATGTGAGTTACTCATGATAATGAACTTCAATACCTAAGCAGTTATGTTTAAGAGTCATCCAAGTTGTTGTTTGAACAGGAGTCTGTACCACCATGGAATTTACCTGGAGAACAGGAATATTTATCACTGTACCCCAAAGGTAAGACACTCTTTTCTGTTTGTTGTGACAACTCCACTGGTTCCATTAACCAGCAGGAGGTGGAAATAGTAATAAGGAAGGGGAAGGGAAGTGGAAATGGCTTTGTCTAAGCCAATAATTTATTCTACATGTAGAAAAATATGTGAAACAAAACCTGACTGCCAAAAACACAATCAAATCTGTGACTGACAGCCAGAGAACTACTGACCCAGCTGCAATATTCTGCCTTCTGGCTCTCTCCTGAGCAACACAAGTCTGTCTGTACAAGCTGGACAAACCTGCTCAGTTAGTACCTCAACTTCTCCATGTGCAGATTGGAAAACATCAGAGTTTTCTTCTTTAGAGAAGCTCTGACAGCTCTGAGGGAAAGAAAAGCTCTGCACACACACTGCTGGTGGAATGGTCAGTGAACTCGTTCTCTAGGTGATTATGTGCAGACATTCTTGCTTAAACTCTGAGGGTTTCTCTTGCTCTGCCAACCTCTGCACCTCAGAGCAAAACGAGGCTGTACTGCACCAACTTGCACTGAGAACCTCTGACCTCACTCTGCCCTCAGCAGTGCCAGGTGAGCCTGGCTCTTCCCACCTGCACCTCAGGAGCTCCCAAACATGGGGGTAAACAAAGCACTGCAGGAACACTGCACTCTGCACACAGCATCACAGAATCAACCTGGCTGGAAGAGACCTCAAACATCATCCAGTCCAACCCTCCCGTGGTCACTAGCCCATGGCACTAAGTGCCACATCCAGTCTCAGCTTGAAAACCTCCAGGGATGGGGAATCCACCACCTCCCTGGGCAGCACATTCCAATGCCTGAGCACTCTCTCCACAAAAAATCTCTTCCTAAGATCCAACCTAACCCTCCCCTGGCAGAGCTTGAGTCTGTGCCCTCTTGTCCTGCTGCTGTTGCCTGGGAGCAGAGACCAACCCCCACCTGACTCCAACCTCCTGTCAGGGAGTTGCAGAGGGTGATGAGGTCTCCCCTGAGCCTCCTCTTCTCCAGGCTGAACACCCCCAGCTCCCTCAGCCTCTGCTCATGGCACCTGTGCATTTCTTGCTCTGGGTTGCAGGTGGAGCTGTTGGTGCTGAGGTTTGAACCATGGGGGCAGAGTTCTTGGGCTGAGAGTCATGCAACCTAAATACAGCTCTAAAACCTTATTGATTAGCACCTTGGATCAGAACAGGGTCAGCAGGGCAAAATACAGTCACAGCAAATATGGAACATGCTTTAAAATTCTGAGTACTGACTGTACCTTACAGATTTTGTACAGAGATTCCTGACCATCTCCTTCTGTATCTTTGAAGTAATCATGTGCTGGATATGTACGATGGATATCTCGTTTAATGACACTCTCCTGAGCAGAGTCCTGTAAGAAAAAGAGAGAAAAACCCCAAGGCATTAGCCCAGTAACAATGTAATTACACATAATAGAAAATTCAATGTGTAATCAACATGGATACATTAGGTAACTGCTTTACTGACTCATCCTCCAGAAATGCTCTGGGAAGAAACTGAAAATCTTGTATAGTCTCATATGCAGTAACAATTTGACAGTCAAACAAGAGCAACCTGGCATGTTTTCTGTCCTTCAGGCTTAAGGTTCAACCTCAGAACTCATAGGAAATTACCAGTTATTTAACTGTTGGTGCATTTCTACCACAGATCTTATTGCTCTGGCAGTAAAAAAAATGAATTAGACTGTCTCTCTCTTGCAAGCTTAAAGGTACAGATTTAAAATGTGCCTCGATCTACCACAAAAAAAGTGTTAATTAAAAATGGAAACTATTAGAAATGTTCAAGGTTTACTGTTCAGTGATGTTTACAAAGTGGCAGGAAAATGTCAGAGCTGGAACTACAGCAGTAGATCAGTTATCTCCAGGCTCCTGTTCCCTTGGGTGTGAGCTGTACCTTCAGGTTGGTCAATAGCAAATGGTGCTTTTCTCCATTACCTTTGTAATCCTAAAGGAAAACCCAACAAAATCCTCACCTGTGACTTGGAAAATAAATCCTTGATAAACACTTTTCACTTGAAAACAAAATATCTGTGTTACAGAAAAGCTTCCCTGTACTTCTCTTTTCTTGAATGGGGAGGCCAATGTGTAATGGGCACAAAGAAGCTGACAAGGAAGATGTCCAAGGTAGGTCCAGAAAATACTTATGTAAAAGACCAAATGCAAATTCCCTAATTCCCTTTTCCTGAGTGAAAAAGAGCTTGCAGCAGTCTTCACTGAGCACTATTAACAACAGATGCTTCTAAGAAACCAGAGGAAAACAATTGAATGGCCCCAAATTACAATGTACACTGAAACACTGGAGAATTAAGTCCTTCTCAAAAGACAATATCCCTTAGAAATACAATAAAGCTATTATTGAGGACAAAGAAATTAGTCTAGAGTGAAGATCAGTGGAGAACTACTTCCTAAAATGTATCCAAAATCCTTTTCCTAATTTCCTACCCTTCCCTAGCAGCAGAGTCTGCTGATAGCCCTGTTCTCAGGAGAGCCACAGCAGCTGAGTTTACAGTTATCTTCATTTAAGGTTTTCAGAGGATTTTTATTCTTCCAAAAGTCATGATTGGTTAATTTATGATTTAAAAAAAAAAAAAAGCTCAGGTGAGCTGGCTATCAAAGCATTCAGAGCTCTAATGATCTTTCTCACTTTTAATAATCATTTCTAGGCTGCCAACTCAGAGAAATAATATTCAACTGAGGAAAAGAATTAT